GGTCTAAACCTGTCCTATGCAACCCAAAATATAAACTCTCTACAGAATACAATCACTTATAAACATTAATATAAAGAGTAAGTCTAACAGAACACAGAGTACTTAAAGTATTTAGACAGCTGTGATTGTTCATCGATAGTATGATGTTCTCAAGCCGACCCAAACCCTGATGATAACAAACTCCCTGTCATGCTTGAAAATAAAAAGGATACATAATGAGTCCAACTCTTGCACTCATCGAACATGATCAATACAAACAGTTAATTTACGATTACACTTAACAGATTACGGTTATTTTCATATTATTCTTCCCCATTTGTACTCCGTTGCCTAGATCGGTAGTGTCAAAGTTGGGTGTAAGGTTCCAGGTAAGAGAGAGATTATTCAATGAAGTCATCAACATATTGTGATAACATGTCATTTCTACTTACTAGTGGTCCAATTCAACCTCGCCTGGTTAACTAGTTCACTAGTTACTAGCCAGTCCTAAGCCCGGATAAAGAGGGGAGGTTGGGCATACGGCTAGCAACCCTACCCCGTAAAACAAATCTAACAGCTAAAGAAAGTTCAAAGCACAAACAAAATATAAAAAATAAAAACAAAATTCTTCCTCGCTGGAATAGGAGAGGCGAAATGACGCCGGTTAGTGAAAGCCTTCGGGAAGCCAATTGGCCGATGTCTTCTCTCGATGAAAGCAAAAGTAAACGTGGGGACATGGAATGTCCGCACGATGTTTGAACCCAGCAAGGCAGCCCAGATCGCAAACGAGATGAGAAGGTATCACATCGAAGTGCTTGGGATTTGCGAAAGCAGACGGAATGGGAGTGGACTCTCCAAGCTGTCAATTGGAGAATCAATAATCTACTCTGGTCACCCAGACGATAACCACGAGCACACTGAGCTATAGAGTGGCGATCATGATGTCCACAACAGGACTGGTCTTCAGCGGTACCGCGGCTAACAACAGAGAGTGAAGTGGTTGACCACTTCACTTACCTGGGAAGTAGGATCAACCCCGGTGGGTTAGTTGCCGATGAGATTTCTGCACGGATACAAAAGGCTCGATTGGCTTTTGCCAATTTGCGCCACCTATGGCGCCGCCGTGATATTCGTTTGTCTATTAAGGGTCGCGTGTACTGCACAGCAGTCCGTTCTGTTCTACTGTATGGCTGTGAAACATGGCCATTGAAAGTGGAAGACATGAGAAGGTTACAGGTATTTGACCACCATTGCCTTCGTAGTATAGGACGTATTCCGTGGTGTCACCATGTGAGTAATGCAGAAGTTAGGTGTAGAGTTTTAGGGAGAAGAGGTAAGTCAGTCGACGAAGTTGTGAACCTTCATCGACTGAGATGGTTGGGACACGTACTACGTATGCCTAGTCACCGATTGCCTCGTCACACAATGTTGGCTGAGGTGGGTTCAGGCTGGAAAAAGGCCCGAGGTGGCCAGACTAAAACATGGCACCAATGTATGAAGTCTCTGACTGTTGGTTTAAGCCATGTAGGACGATGCAGACTAGGTGGTTGGGGTCCACGGGACAAGAGGAACCAGTGGTTGGAGACCCTAGGTGATATGGCTCAGAACCGAAGTCAGTGGCGCAGATGTATACACACATTATCCTCATCTTAACAACGCTATACCGAATCTCACCATTTTGTCACTCCTCTTTCCTTTCTTCTCGTACTTTATATTTCTTTTGACTGCATTCACTTATCTTCATCCTTCACCTCACTACCTTTTTACTTGATGTGCTGATATGAGGTGTGGCAACTCGGACCGTTACGCAGTAATGCCTGGTCCTATGTTGATAATGATGATGCAGTGGGAACCAATCTCCTCCAGGATCATGACAGCAAGATTCAACTCGAAAGGAAGGAAGGTCACAGTCATACAATGCTATGCACCTACAAATTATGCAGAGCAAGAGAAAAAGGAGGAATTCTACAGACAACTGCAATCAACACTGGACAAGACCACAAGCCAGTTGGCCATATCAAAATCCCAATGGGTGGGGTGACATGAATGCCAAACTGGGAGTGGACAAAACAGGAAGAGAACTAACCATGGATCGAGAATCGCTCGGTGAGGTGATGGACGAGAATGGAGAATTGTTTGCAGAATTCTGTGCATTCAACGATTTGGTGATTGCAGTGAGGCAGTGTGTTCAAGCACAAGGATATCCACAAAGCGACATGGATTTCACCAGATGGACACACTAAAAACCAAATCGACTTCATCTCAATCTCAAGAAAATGGAGACCCAGTCTACTTGACACAAGATCAAGAAGAGGAGCAGATGTAGGTTCAGATAACTCACTATCCAGTGCAAGGGACCTTCCAAATCAAGTTCAAAGCCTTCAAGGAAGCTGGTGATAGACCGCAGTTCAAGTACAACACTCGAAAACTGAAGGATGAAACTACAAAGGAAATCTTCACGGCAGCCGTCAAGACAAAATGGGAGACATCGAGCAACATCCCTGAAGAAACCTGTGTGGAAGAACACTGGAAGTCTTTGAAAGAGATGTGGAAAGAAACCTGCACAGCCGTATTAGGAAGGATGAAGAAAGAGGACAAGGAATGGATCTCGACGGATACCTGGAAGCTGATGGAGGAGAGGAGGATGGTGAAGCAGAAGATAAACCAGTGCAAGGATGCTCAACGACAAGAGGAATTGAGTACAATGTATAGAACACTGGACAAAGAAGTGAAGAAGAGTGCAAGGAAAGAAAAAAGACACTTCTACGAAACACTGGCAAGTGAAGCAGAACAGGCTGCAGGTAAGAGAGAACTGACAACATTGTATCAAATAACCAGGTTGCTATCTGGGAAGAGATCAACGCAGGCGAAGCCAATAAAAGATGATGACGGAAATTTAATTACGAAAGAAGAGAAACAATGGGCCGACCACTTCAAGAAGCTCTTGAATCGACCACCACCTGTACTTCGTCCAGAAATACCACCTACAGCTGCTGAACTACAAGTCAACATAAATCTTCCAACAAAAATGGAAGTTTTGAACGCCATAAAGCTACTGAAATGTGGGAAAGCAGCAGGACCAGATGGGATCCCGCCAGAAGCACTGAGAACAGATGCAGAGACAACAGCGGACATGCTCACACCACTATTGCAGGTGTGGAAGGAAGAGAAGGTACCTGGCTAGTGATTAGAAGAAGGGTTACCTTGTCAAACTGCCGAAGAAGGGAGACCTCAATGTTTGCAAGAACTGGCGCGGAATCACTCTCCTGTCCACCCAAGGCAAGCAAAATATTAAGCCGCATCATCCTGGAGAGGCTTAAGGATGCGCTGGATTCAAAACTACGACCGGAACAGGCAGGCTTCAGGAAGTACAAATCATGTGCGGACCAAATTGCAACGCCTCGCATCATCATAGAACACAGCATAGAATGGCAATCAGCTCTCTACCTCAACTTTATCGACTTTGAGAAGGCCTTTGACAGCGTCGACCGAGAAGTAATTTGGAAACTGCTTCATTACTACGGAATACCGCAAACCTTTATCCACCTCATCCAACAACTATATGAAGATGCCACATGCCAAGTAGTTCACAATGGGAAGCTCAGTGATGCTTTTGAAGTGAAGACAGGAGTGAAACAAGGTTGCCTACTATCCCCCATGATATTCCTAATTGTGGTCGACTGGATCATGCAGCAAACAGTGGGGAGCGAGAAGAGGGGAATACGCTGGCTGGACTGCGGAAAAGAACCTAGAAGACTTGGATTTCGCCGATGACTTGTGCATGGTGTCACATAAACTTGAAGATCAACAGGCGAAAACTAACAAGTTGGCAGAAGAGGCAGGGCAGCGAAGACGGAACTTCAAGTGAATATAGAGAAGACAGAGGTGATGAAGATACCGCACCAACAACTCCAAACTCCAGTCACCATCAACGGGAGAAACTTAAATGAAGTAACCTCCTTCACCTATCTAAAAAGCACCGCTTTAACTACAGGTGGCGGCACAGACGAGGATGTCAAAGTCAGGATCGGAAAAGCAAGACAGGCATTCATTAGCCTGAAAACAGTGTGGAGATCTTCTGCACTGCACTCAGCATAAACCGTAAACAACATCCGGATTTTCAACACCAATCCAGTCAAGTCAGTGCTTCTGTATGGTTCAGAGACTTGGCGCGTCACGAAAGGGATTTCCAATAAACTACAGACATTCATCAACAACTGCTTACGCTCGCTACTGAAGATCAGATGGATTGCCAGAAAGAATAAGCAACAAGGAGCTCTGGGAACGAACCAACCAAGAACCTATCACGCAACAAGTATGCAGAGGAAGGAAGTGGAGATGGATTGGGCATACACTGAGAAGGCCGACTGGGGACATCACGCGTCAGGCCAGGCACTAGAGTGGAATCCCCAGGGGAAGCGACGAGTTGGATGTCCGAGGGTGACATGGAGGAGATCGTGCGAGGAGGAAATGAGAGCTTCTGGGCTGTCGTGGAACCAGGTTCAAAAGTTCTCAGAGAACAGAGGTCACTGGAGACGTGCTACTGGAGCCCTATGTTCCATTAGGAACCCAAGGGACTAATAATAATAAATAATAATAGTGGTCCAATTCACAGCTCAAATTCGGAAGAGGATTGTTTGCATCATTAAGCTACTAAATCAGATAACGACATATATGTATACAACCATTATGATAAATGAACATTCCGATGTAATAAATATGAACGCTAACGAAATAACAATCCACTGTCCTCAAAATAATTGTAGTATATCACTTTTGAATACAAACAGATACAAAAATAGTCAGTTAGCTTTCCATGGTGTGAAACCAGTAGCATGTACAGCATAGTGCGACCATAAAAATGATCCACAGAGTGCATAAAGTAATTAGGCCTCAAGCAGTTTCCGAAGTATTAATAATACCAAAACATACAAACAGTAGTCATTAGAAACTCACCTAGGGAAATTAAATTTACTGAAGCAAAACAGAAAATAAAAATATTCGAATTCGCAAAAGAGATTTCATAAATTATTTACAAGCTCTTCTGATACGGCTTCATCATTGTTAAGTGTATCAACAAAATACGGTACAAATTTAGAATCAATCAAATCTAGTGAGAATTTATCACTGTGCATCAGTAAATCAGAATAGATGTTGACTTCTTCCCTTTTAGCATAAGGTGGTATATTCCACACACTTTTCGGTAAACGGTCTGTTTCTTCGGGAGGAAAACACTGTATACGCATACCCTCAAAATCACCATATTCCCTGAGTTTCTTGTTGGAAGACCATTGCATATAATATTCTTTACCAGGGATTTGAACCACTGATTCAAGAGCAGAAATGTAAGCCAACTTGTTTGAGATTCGACAATTTTTTTCACCTGCAGTAGTCAACTCGTGGCGAACTTCTTTCCATCCATTGGAGAACAGTATCAAACGCGAAATTATATCAGGTGACCAATTAGTGTACAGTAAATTATTAATCAGAACCGGAGCACAATGTGGCAGAAAAATAAAATGAAATCGATCAGAAGCTAATTTGTAGCAGCCTTCTTTATTGGTTGGTATAATCTAGACAAAATCAATTTTGAATACATATATATTTATTAGTAACAGACATTAGAACCATAATTTTGTTTAAAAGTAAACGCAAGTGAGGCCATTTTAATATTGTTCACACACACAGCTTTAAACCTTTTTCAAATCTAGAATAAAAAAGTTAGAACATCGTCTGAATATCCAGTAAAGCGTTGAACTGTGGGCCTTTTGCCAAGGCACACTCAAGTTCAACCTGACAGATCGCGAGCTTAAAACTACCCCAAATGCCGGCCTAGATCGACGACTAGTGACACTAGTTTCTGCACAGATTTTTCTAAAATCCAAAACAGTTTATCAACAGTATGTAAGTTGTGATGACCCAAGGATTTTGGACTGTTTTCTGGAGGAAAAAATATGCTTCAAAAATACGGAATTAACGAAGCTATAAAGTCATTGAGTGGGGAATGGAGTGAGTGGTGACGTATTCGAAGTCTTAAGAAAAACAGGTACTGCGTATATCGCACCATCACGACCAATTTTCGGCCTACAACCGTTGGTTTTTAGTATCAGATCGAATACAAAATGCCTGCACTATCCAACACGACCCCGACCAACAGTCAATGACTTCAAGTGGAGCTGTGGTTTATCAATGTAACCACTTGACTTCCGAGTTATGGGCTACGAGTTCGTATCCTACACCCAACTACCGAGATCTGGGCAGCCAGATGACATCATTAGCCCTCACAAAACGGGTGGTTCACTGTCTATGACACGGATGTGCATATAGCTGTTGAGTTCATTCAGATTTTTTTCAACGACTTAAAGGAGCAGTGCCAGGTTCTAATCCCACCACCACCACTCAGCTTCCTTCCTTCTAACCCAACTTTAATCCAGTTACTATTGTGTCTGAATGTTGATGATAGGTCAATATAAGAAAATGTTTCAGAAATCTCAGACCAGGGAGTTGACAACGTCATAGACTGACTTAATTAACCTTAATATTGTTTTCTCTGTGATTCCACCGCACACCAACACTACGACGAAGACACCCGTGGTTTCCAAGTCATAAAGTTCATTAATCATACTTAAATATAAAGGCAATGAGATTAGATCACTGCTGAACAACCGACAATAAAGGAATGTAGCTTTATGACAACACTCTTATTGTGCCATCCCTAAACCATAACATAGTCTATGGAAACGCAAGAGGTGGCTGAGTCAGATTTGAATTCTCATCAGTCGGTAGTCACATGTCTAGAGTGATGAGATATTATCAATTTGTCCTCATTCGCGTATTTCACGTGTGTTGTACACAAATGTTTAAGCCGATAGCTTTAACCAATGGATAATGAATTCACACTCGCTACACAAATTTTAAACTGAGGAAGTAGGTAGTACCATGTGCCCTTAACAAGCATCGTTCACAATCTCGTGCGAAATTCTACACCTTATTCAGCTTCATAATAACTACTCATGCCTTTTGCAGGCTTTCCATACGTTCATTCTTAGTGCTCTTATATGTATGTGGCAGCTCCATATTTGAGAAACCACATCCAATAGCCCAGCCCCATGGCTTCAAACAGGAGCAATGTTAGCATTACAGTTTAGAGATGAATCATTTAATCACAAGAAAAGTACATAAACTAAAATATTCTGATATTTTAAAGATTGTCTAGTCGTTTCATAATGTTACCAGCTGTTCATTTCTAATTGCTAGATTAGGATGATCTGAATGATTAGACGTTTAGAGTACGATTCGACAAGATGCAGTGCTTCAAAAAGTCACCTGGTTGGAGGGATACGCCAATCAGTATATACAATGTGCAGTTATAGTCACTATTCACTTGGCCTATCTTTTGTTTACTCTCTCCTCCTCTCCAAAATTCTAACTTTCGAATGACCTGTCAACTATTAACATTACACTGTTATAAAATAGTTTTTTGAATACGAAAACTGTTATATACATATCCAAGTATGAAGAACAAAATGCTAGGCAATTTTAGACAAACTAACAATCATTTTTCTCCCCAATGTTGATGTCATTTAGACTCATAAAAGGAAATGTATACGAAAAGCTACGGAAAATTAACCTGATATTAATACATACTCACATGCATGCCCAGCTTTTGTATAAGAGCTCGGACCATAGACTTAAACAGAGGGTCGTATAGTTGAGTATGTGATCGATCCATACGAGTATCGAATTGCAAAAGAAGATCTAATACGACCAATTGATGCAAACTGGCACGATCTGCAGCCGGATTACCCAATCCTAGGCAAAGAACATCAACCATCTTTGGTCTAATTTGTTCTTTTGATATCATTGAAAATGCCTGACTTATAGACTTTATTAAGCCCTCTAAGAAAGACCTGTCTGGCTTTGAGAGTAAGAAGTTGGACCGCATACCATAAAATCTTCGCTCAAGTGATTCCAAGTTGTCATCTTCCATCAGATGGGAGATACCAACAGGTAGTCGATACCCACCTGGTCGATGAGTAAGGGAACAATGCCCTATCGGTTTTGAGCCTTTGGACTTACGTTTCGTTTTGCGAGAACATATGCGGAGCCATCCCTCTGATTCATCTTCCTCCAAACCGACATTCTCAAAATCTTTGATAAGAGACTCGGACATTATTTCTTGATGACTCATTGGGAACCGTATCTATCCAAACAAGAATAAACTCCTGGCAGTAACATTTTAAATTCTTACAGTACGATAAATGCGACCTATTAATAAACCAGAAAGAGTAAAATATTACCGTAATTAATTCCTAAAAACAGGAGTACTAACAGATGAATTTACTAAAGAAAACCTAACGCAAGATCGGTGTTTCAAATTCGAGTACCGGGTACCAGAGAAAAATTTAGATAGAAAGTTTAGTGATTTGCGTAAAAGATGTAATTATTATGAGCTCAGAAGCACACAGAAATCAAAAGATGGGAACATTTTTGAATCAAGGTAGCACAAGTATATAATGAAGAAAATTTCGATATGCAGGAGTCTGATTTTCAAGATTTAAATGAAGACTTGGTTTAAACTGAATCACGTAGACTAGTCAAGAGCTACCTGATTTTTAGTCTTCCACCAGAGACTTTTTCATATTTCACTTTAAAGTCTTGCGGTCTTAATTAAGTCAACTAAGAGATATCAATAATTAACAGATCCAACCACCTTAAACAGTTACCCTAGGTATACCAACTTCAATTAACATTTTTCCAAGCGTGAAAGTTTAATCCAGACATCTTGCAGGTTACCTGTATCGCTTACATTGAAAGAAATTATGCTACCTGCTGATACTTCATACTACTAGGAATAATGCGTTACATTTCTTCTTCTTCTTCTTCAGCCATTATTGCCTTTCATTGAAGTTCAATGGCCACTTTCAGGTCCCTGTATCAGAATAAAGGTACCAAAATTGGAAGAAATTCCAAACTCGCAACCCACTAGAATAATAAAAAATGCAACTCAGTCATCTACAAGATTTATGTACTAGGCTATAAGCCACACCTACTGTTTGAGGGCTTGTGGTACTAACCACGTCAAATAAGTTGGAATGCGATTCGAATCCTGGACGATTCACTTGAAAGTCAAGTGTTTAAACCAATGAGCCATAATCACTGTAGCCCACTTGTTCAAAATCAATCCCTTCGTTTCGTATGGTAATGTTGTTGATTTCCTGTTTTGAATACTGGCAGATAAAATCAATGTGTATCGCTTCGCACTTTACTGTAACGTGCAAAGCAAGAATGGGTAGAAAAGTGATATTAAAGTAAACAGAAGTGTATTCGAGGCAGGAGAATTGATAGATCACCGTTGCTGAAAATGTTCGAGACCTTGAAGGTGATCAAGGAATGCATACATCTGCACCGCTGTTAGCCATTTTTAGCTGTCCCCAAAAGTATCCAACCATTGGTCCGTATCGTTTTGAGCATCCCAAACAGACAGTCTACAACTCCATACACGGCTCAAGCCAACAGTCCGAGACCTCATAGGTAATCAGATATCTCACTGGAATCAGAAACGCCGTAAGTTGATAAGTCTCAAACAGGTCTTTTGTATCTGCTCCCAGATTTCGTCAGCAACCACGCCGTTTGGGTTGGGTTGATGCAACTCCCCGAGTAAGTAAAGTGGTCAACGCTTCCAACCACTTCCCTCATTATCCCTAAACTAGGAGTGGTGACAGACCAGTTTTCAGGCATAATATCACATCTGACAGGTGTAAAACTCACACTGAACATATTCAAATTTATTCTCAAGACATTCAGAAGACTGAATTTGTCAGCATTTTCGCCTAACTGGACAATGTTGTTTGCATACTCTCACTTAACCCGACGAACTTCAAGGAGTAGGTCAGTCCCTGTAAAGTCACATGTACCTGGACCTGGTTACCTTCGTACCCATTAGTACACCTAGAATAAAGTCAAACAGGAACGGTGAGAGTGGTCACCCAACAGTTGTCGCCAATTCTGATAACAACTCTCCATAGGCCATTACAAGGCTGTTTGAGTTCCAGTAGACAGCTATGATCAGCATTACATGCCCGTGTTCCAGAACATGTAGGAGGGAGAGAATATAATAGATGCATCCTCGTTCAAGTCTGAAACCTGCCTGGCTTTCTCCAGCTCCAGTTAGTTGTCAGATTAATGTGATCCCTATGACTCTGGACACAATATTAGTTAAGTTGTCTACCTTACAGTTTTCTCACAAGAAGACTTCTCTCCTTTCTTATAGACCGGAATAAGTAACGATCCAGACCAGTTTGGGAGGACCACCTCTGATTCCCATACACTACCTAGTACCTCCAGTGCTCTACTCGGTAGCTTCTTACCTCCATCCTCAAAAACTTCTGGTGGAAAACAGTCAGGTTCCAGTGCTTTGCATCGTTTCAGGCTTGACGTACTTTCCCCAACTGAATGAAGTTGTGGCTTATCGGTAAAGGGAGCCGAATTTCAACCAGCGGGTCATGGATTAGAACAGCACTACAAATTATCGAGGTTTGAGCAACCAGGGTAGTATCATTAGCGCTCAGGAAGGAGGTGTTAATGTTTGCCTTCTGCATGAGTGTGTAAAAGCTTGCTGAGCAGATTCTTTCCCGAACTTGAAGAAGTTACAGGATCGATATTTGCATCCTATTCAGATTTGAGATGGATGCTGAACAAAAAAAGCGTCGATGCAAGTCAGTTGAACCGTTCTTGAAAATTATGCCTAACGTTTTAACCATCTGCCCCTCGAGTTTTTCAGGGATCCATCCTTTTGGTGGCAGTTTCAGTAACCATCGTCTTCATCTTGACAGCATCCTCAACAATCCAAAATAAATCAAGTATTGCCTAGTGTTGATGTCTTTCACCACACACCATTTCTAACGTTCACTGCGAAGACTATCAGTCAATTTACGTCTGAGCTACATTCACTCCTTACTGTAGTCAGAGTCGGGTAGATTGAGTCTTCTCGAATTAATCAGTCCGGATGAGACGACAGAAATCCGCCGGCTTTTCCTAACCTCTGGGTGTAATATTACGTAACTCAACCCGGTACATATTTATGCCCTAGGCTATGGGTCGCACTTGTTCCGTGAGGGCCCGGCTGCCCAGGCCGAAGTATGTGGAGTGAGGCACTGAGTATAAGCTACTAACAGTCTTTACTACCGTTCCCATAGCAGACAGAATAAGACAGATTTCACCAGAAAGAGAATGGCTATTGTGTCCATATAAGCGCCTGGTTAAAACCTAAATGAATGCACACCTGACGTCATCTTTCAGTCGAGTACACACAGGTTTCACTGCTGCCTATTTTTTGCGACTAGTGAAGCTCAAACACACTTACCCGTACTAACCCATGACTGCAGTTCAAACAGACACATTAAAAAGGGCGTCAATCCTATTCAACAATGGCTTAGGCTTGTAGCAAAATGATGTATCTATGTTCATCATTGGTTTGATGTTGGTAGACGCCAAGTCGGACAGCGTCTCTTTTTATACTCAAAGTTAAGGCTCGTCAGAACAAAACTGCAATGAAAGGTTACAATCGTAAGTTGGTTTGTATGCGATATCGTAGATATTTCCAAGATGCCTTTCAGATTGGATCAGCTTCCCTACTTGCACTTTGAAATCACCAATTACTGTAACAAGATTTGAACGTTTTGCTTTATGTTGCCAAATTGGTAGATTTTTGACGGAACTCTTCTTTTGTATCATGGAAACTGCAGTCGGTGGGCACCTAAGCGACAAGTGTCATGATCCTCCTCAGTTACTAAGGCTTCATTCAGTCAGACAGCACACAGACAGCTGTTAACTGGTATCCAGTGGAGAAGTACGCTTTCTGCTCGAGAACCTATGCTACCCCTACGTCAGCGAGTTCACGAGAGCTAGACATGGAATCTCCAACCACCCGTGAAGTGAATTTTGTGGAACCACCGTAACGCCCAAATGAAGTGAATAATCCCACGGGTCCTGTATGAGTGTCTGAGAAACGCAGTATACATTTATGGATCGAATTTGCAGAGTTTCGGCAAGTGATATCCGTTTTCCGATTTGGTATGAAGTTCGGACGCTGAGAGTTTAAATGTGAAGTTGGCGGCATGGGATTACGAGAAAATAGGAATGGTGTTTTTCTGACTTGGATCGTTGGCAATGGTCACAGGATGAGTGGTTGAGGAGGTTGTAAGACGTTTGATATTGGTATCAGAAAGTAAAGGGAAAGAAGAAAGGTTATGATTAGTTAGACTTTACATCTTCCAGCGTACCGGTGGTAGATACTTTCTAACTGCTCACACCGTGAACTTTTTTTCTGAGATGTACATGAAAGAGGAAATGGATTAGTTTTGCGTGAGCGTAGAGCTCATGGGACATCTGCTTGAAGCCGATGGGTTGAGATTTGATTGTGCTAATGCTGGACAAAAAAACCATATTGTTAGCACTGGGAAACCACAGAGCAGAGAATGTGCTCTTTGAAGGGTTGATATCTTCTAGCGCTCACTTCCAATTGGGGTTTTACTCCAATTTGCGATTCAACTCGAAGCTAAAGGCCGCTCCTCGTCTTTATAAACCTTACTTCCCAAATCTGGTGAACCGGTCCCCTCACATAGCAGGCAACATCCAAGCAATACATCCACATGGAAATGAACACTTCGGCCAGAGCATTCTGTTAACACCTCCTCAAACTGATTGTTATTCTGAAACTCTCCCAACCGTCTGGCTTCAACAAATACTCATTCGCAGAGTAAACGGTTCGTTGACAGTACTCACCTCCCGGTGTGCAGATCTGTATGGAAGCGTTTTACTGGAGTTTCGACAACCTTGCAGCTTACCTTCGCGAGGAGACTACATTTGTCTTTGGGAATTGCTTCAGTAACAGTGACTGCCAAAACTATGGAGCTGGATTCATCTTACTTCTCAGTTGCAGTGCACCCAGAACAATGGGCAGAATCCTCAAGATTAGGTAGTCCCTTTGTGCTCTCGAACCCGCGCCACTGATCTCGGGCATACGTATCCCGTCGACCGTGATTACCACTGTCAACTTGAAGGTGTGTTGGTTGATATCCAGCAAGCCGTGAGGAGGCGCGACTTGTAATCCATGGTGCAAAGCCATCACAAATTTTCACAAGCCAGAAGCACAAACTAAGCACCACATAATCGCGCCGCGTAGAGTTTCTTCTTGCTCACACCCTAGCAAATATTTATGGAACGGATCTATGCCACCCTAAAAGCTATATTTACACCCCCAGGTCAAGAACAGTACAACTTCGTGATTTTACCAGAAATAAAAAACTCGGCTGCGGTTGCTTTGACTTCAGTATGGCAAAGAAATAATTTTAAAATCCAAAAACACATACTTATGAGTATTTATATAAATACGTATGACCTAGGGAAAAATTTCACATACCATGTAAAACAATTCCGTAATTCGCCTTTATTTTCTCGTTCGACTCATAATCAACATCAAGCCTAAAAACTGCAAGCAATTTTCAGTAAGAAGGATGGTAGGCCAGTGTTAATCCTTGCAGAAGATATCTCTATGAGGATCTAGTTTCTCTTTGGACACGTTGACAGAAGGTGCTGATACTACTTGCCGAGGTGAGGAGTTCCAGTCGCTGACCACACGATAGAAACGCAGATTCACGCCAAGTTGATTCGATAGCGACTTGTGAATTTTCTTGTGATGCCCTCGGAGATAATTAATCCTAGCAGGAGAGAAAAGATAGGACATATCAGTACCGAAGTCATTATTACGGATACGGAATGTCAGTATGAGATCACCCTGTTTCCTACGGTAAGACAGTGGGAATAAGTTTAGCCGATCTAGTCGTTCCTCATACGGCAGATTCGAAAGGTCTGACACAAGTTTAGTACCTACCTTCTGAATACACTCGAGTGCATCAGCATCCTTTTTTAGACATGGGCTGGCCGCCTGAATTAAGTATTCCAAGTGAGGTTCTAGCGTGGGTGTAGAGTATTCTGAATACATCCTGATCAAAACTTTTGGATGCTCTGTGGATGGACCATAACACACGGAAGCCCATTGCTGCAGTTGCATTAATGTTAGAGTTTGCAGATCACAGCTTATGATGACATTTAAGTCTTTCAGTTGAAAGACTAGGAGCAGTGGTGCATCATCAACAGAATACCAGAGACGATTGCTATGACCAATGTGCGTTATTGCACTTTCACTGGGGTTGATTTCCAGGCACCAATCTCTGGACCAATCTTCTAATTCATCCAAGTCCGCCTGAAGCGCATACCTATCAGTATCACTACGTATGACTCTCAAAATGTTTACGTCATCTGCTAATAGCAGCACTGAAGAGTTGAGCATTTGTGGTAATTCCTTGACATGTAACAAGAAAAGTAGGGGAATAAGGATTCTTCCTTGAGGAGCTCCTCTCAACACACGTTTCCACCTGGACAATATTCCACTAACCCTGTCTTTGCCATCTATCGTACAGAAAGTCCCTAATCCAAGCTTGCAGTACAGCACCGAACCCGAAAAAAGAGAGCTTTCCTAGTAACTTCACTTGAGATTTTATCCAATCCGTTACTGAAGTCTATAAACATGGCATCCATTCTCAGCTTGAACTCACGGGCTGAAACCCATTCCTCTCTCGCGATGAGGAGGCTTGTGAAACAGGAGTGTCCAGTACGAAAATCGTGTTGCTATGGTGCCAAAAGATTATTTAATTCAACATGTTTAAGTACGTTATCACGAATCATTTTTTTCTAAAACCTCAATAACTATGCTAGTCAGACGCACAGGGCGATAGCTAGCCACCAACTGGCGACTACCGGCCTTAAAACTGGGCTGATTATAGCATCTTCCCAGTCTCTAGGGTGGCGAGTCCGAGATAAGGATATATTGAAAAGGTCAGTGATTGGCTAAGCAACAATGTCCGCTAGCAACTCGTCAGGATCCGGGGATTTTCCAGGTTTAAGATTAATGAGCAACTGTAACACTGTTTCCTTTGCTATGAACACTGTATCTATTGGTAGGGCAGTGCTGACACCTCTGTTGAGCGCTTACCCATCATCACCTACAGAAAAGACTTCAACAGAGTACTCTGATAGACATTCAGCTTTGGACAGATTAGACTCTGCCAGACTATCGGACTTTTCATCCGTCACCAGAGAGGGAATTCCACACTTTATTTCAGTCCTTCCAATGAACGTGAAGTCTTTTATGATAGTTTTGAGTCATTAACAAGCTGTTTCTCATAGGACATTCGAGACTGTGATCAAAGTTTTGCAGAAGTTACGGAGTTTACAGTACCCAGTTTCGGATGTTTCCAGTCCAGTTCCTATAAACAAGTTCCATAACCGTTTCCTCCGCCTTAATAGTTTCCAAGTTTCTTTATTCAAACCACGGAGGGTGGTGTGAGGATCTTCGTGGAGTCAACCATGGAATAAATGGCGTCGTTACTTCTTCAAATAGAATTATAAACCTATCCTATGCGTTCTCAATTGATGATTCCTTGTCAATGGTCCAATCCTTACCGACTGCGTAATCCCTCACACTTGAAATGTCTGCGCGTTACACATTAGGTCTAGGGGAAGCAGTGTTGTAAATAAACTCACGTTCCAAAACCAGTTAGCACTACATGGTCACTGTGAGCTAACGAAAGGAAGTATCGTAGATCCATAATATCTCTATCTTCGTGGGTTAAAACCAAATTTAACAACGATGTCTTGTGTTCAAAATGGTATCGCGTTGCACAAGTTACATTTTGAACTAATGCAGATTCTAGAAACGTTAAAAGTAAATCATTTTTGAAGGAACTACCCAAGGCTAAGACTGTAAGTTTTATCCACTTTATGTGTGGAGCATTCAGATGCCCAACTATTAGGCATCTGCTGCTCCTACTCCAGTTACATATATGGGATGGCACGAAGTCACTTACAAGGCAGGATGGACTACGATCAACTACCCCAGTACAGAAACCCTGCTTTGACTTCAGCTCACAACTGGTCACTTTGCAGGTACCACGTTCATGAACTTCGGAAGTGACTGGTCGTATGTGGACCTCATCACGGACATAAAGTAGTATGAAACCACCTTTGCAACCCTATTTGTTCGTACACCGTAAAACCCTGTCGGAAGTGGTGTAAAGTCTAAATCCCTTACTAACCAGGTTTCAGTAAGAGCCACTACATCAGGACCTAGTTCGCAGATTACAGTCTGTGTCATTTTACTTCTAATACTGCGAACATTGATGTAGGCTACGTTTACTGTGTTTCAAGAGTTCCATGACCCATCCATACAGGCCTTGGAAGCATTCGTTTCCAAGACTTCACAACCTGAAAATCCACAATTTTAAGATTGTTTTCTCTATCAGTTTGCCAAGCTTTAATTTCAGTCAGAGCTTCTTTTCTTTTCATCCGGTCCTCAACAAACCACTCAGGTCCGATGCGGATTTCCGAATTTTGTAGTTTGATTGTGTTATTTAAGAGTATATCCACTTTTTTATTGCCTAAAACAATCTTCAAAATCCTGCTCTCATCAGGTTCGTCATCCTTTCTCAATCTAACCTGACTATTTTGGAGATGTATACTCTATTGGACGTTTCAGGTAGGATATGTCTGATAGTCAACTCGACCAGTTTCAGATCACGCGTATGACGTATTGAAGGGTCTTTGTCCACTGACTCTTGAACATTCCAGAAGACCAGGCTGGACATTGGTGGGCAATCCTTGGATCGTGTGTTGAAGGTCTTCGAAACTTTGTCGACAGGTTTCATAAGCTTAGCAGGTTCAGTAATAACCTTTGGAGGTTTCTTTGAATTCTTTCTTGGAGAAATCCATTCAAATTCGTCGATCAACGTTGCTAACAGACGCTGTCTAACGGTAAATCCTTGGGTATTACAGTTGACGTACCAGTCACCCACGGTTTCCTTTTACGTCGAGTGAACATCGAAACTGGTGTAGCCTCATCGACTAAATCGCCAGTATGCAATAATCCACCTTAAGATAACATGTTAGATGCATTGACAATAATACTTGCAGTGCCATCATCTGATGACACATTGGAATGACAGCTATCATAACCACATGAGTGCTTCCTGACCAGAAACATTTTGACAGCTTCCTGAATTAAGGCTGACAAGGGCTTACATCAGAAGTCACAAAACCAGGGAGAAGCAAAAAGTGTTAAAAGAGTAGAAAAATTCACTTCCTGTTTACCACACGTGCGTGGGCCAGATGAGCACATCAGCCAGGACTGCCAGCAGGGGATGCAGTAAAAAAGATACACTGAGCAAAGAACTTAACCTCGCCTAGTTAACTAGTTAATAACCGGTCCTAAACCCGGATAAAGAGGGAAGGTTGGGCATACAGCCGGCAACCCTACCCGGGAAAACCAATCCAATCGTTAAAGAAACTTCAAAGTACAAACAAAATATAAAAAATAACCTTATTCGTCGCTGGAATCGGGGAGAGGAAATGACGCCGGTTGGTGAAAGCCTTCGGGAAGCCTATTGGCCGATGTGTCTTTTCTTCTCTCCATGAAAGCAAAAGTAAACACGGGGACATGGAATGTCCGAACAATGTTTGAACCTAACAAGGCTGCCCAGATTGCTGTGGAAAGGAACCTGCATAGCCGTAATAGGAAGGAAGAGGAAACAAGACAAAATGGACCTCGTGGAAGCTGATAGAGCAGGGAGAGAAATAAAGTGAAGCAGATGAACCAGTGCAGAGCAATGATGAACAATGAAGAGGACTGAGTGCAACCTATAAAACACTACACTGGACAAAGAAGTGAAGAAGAGTGCGCACAAAGACAAAGGACACTTCTATGACGCACTGGCAAGTGAAGCAGAACAGGCTGCAGGTAGGAGAGACGGAGACCTGACAACACTATATCAAATAACCAGGTTACTATCCGGGAGGGAAGAAATCAACTCAGATGAAACCAATGAAAAATAGTGAAGGAAACATAGTTACCAAAGAGAAGAAACAAAGGGAACGATGGGCTGACCACTTCATAAAGCTCTTGAATCGACAACCACCTGCAACTCATCCAGAAATACCACCAGCAGCCCAGCCACAGAACTACCAGTGAACACGGAATGCCATAAAACTGCTGAAATCCGCGAAAGCAGCAGGACCAGATGGAATCCCGCCAGAAGCACTGACAACAGAAGCAAAGACAACAGCGAACATGCCCACACCACTACTGCAGAAGGTTTGGAAGGAAGGAAAGGTACCTGCAGATTGCAAGGGCTACCTTGTCAAACTCCCTAAGAAGGGAAACCTGAGACTTCAAGAACTGGCGAGGAATCATGCTGCTGTCCACCCCAAGCAAAATATTATGCCGCATTATCATGGAGAGACTAAAGGATGCGCTGGATTCAAAATTACGACCAGAACAGGCTGGCTGTCTTCAGGAAGAACAAATCATATGCGGACCAAATCGCAACATTACGCATCATCATAGAACAGAGCATAGAACGGCAGTCAACTGGATCTTTACCTCAACTTCATCGATTTTGAAAAGGTCTTTGACAGCGCCGACCGAGAAGTAGTTTGGCAACTGCTATGACACTACAGTGCCACAAACACTTATCAACCCCAATCAACAACCATATGACGACGCTACATTCCGAGTGATTCGCAATGGAAAGCTCACCTCAGTGATGCGTTCGAGGTAAAGACAGGAGTAAGACAAGGTTGCCGCCTACTATCACTGATCATCTGATTGTGGTCGGCTGGACTGCATCATGTAGCAAACCGTGAGGAGCGACAAGATGGGGATACGCTGGGTGGACCGATGAAAAGACCCTAGGAGATTTGGATTTCGCCGATAATTTATGTTTCATGTCGCACAAACTCGAGGATCTACGGGTGAAAACTAACAAGTTGATAGAAGAGGCAGCGAAAATGGGACTTCAAGTAAATGTAGACAAGACAGAAGTGATGAAGATACCCAACCAATAACAGCATCAACAACAAGTACCAATAACCACTAACGGGTGAAATCTGAAGGAAGTTGTCTCTTTCGCCTATCTAGGCAGCATCGTTTCAACTACAGGCGGCACAGGCACAGACGAGGATGTCGAAACCAGGATCGGAAAGACAGGCTTTTATTAATCTGAAATCACTGTGGAGATCTACTGCACCACATTCAGCATAAAGCGTGAACAAGATCCGGATTTTCAACACCAATATCAAGTCAGTGCTTCTGTGTGATGGCTCAGAATCTTGGCGCGTCACGAAAAGCGCTTCCAATAAACTACAGACATTCATCAACAGCTGCCACCTACACTGGCTCGATAATGTAGATCAGAAAGAATAGGCAACAATTGTTCCTTAAGGAACTCAATCTGGGAACGCACCAACCAAAAACCTATCGCACAACAAATATGCAGAGGAAGAAAGTAGAGATGGATTGGGCATACACAGAGAAGGGCAACTGGGGCGTCCTAGTCGAGGGTGACATGGAGGGGATCGTGTGAGGAAGAAATGAGAGCTTGTAGACAGTCGTACGACACGTGGCGCCAGGTCCAAAAGACTGCAGAGGACAGAGTGCAATGGAGGCGTGCTACTGAAGCCCTGTGTTCCACTAGGAACCCAAGGGAAAAATAATAAGCAAAGAACTTACCGCTGACTCGAATGGATCGACCTCAATGACCAACCATTTTTAATTTTGTGCCACCTACCTTGGATACAGTTGTGATTGGTCAACCTGAGACCTTCAAACTTCGTGTTGTAGAATTAGTGAACAGCGGTTCCTTGGGTTCTACGTCTGTCTTATTGGAATACGTTTTGAGTTTGGAATGGTCACAATATCTTCCCGGTTCTGAAGAACCTGAAAGGATAGAGATAAACTATTATTAATTAATCTGGTCTCAAGGTAGTATTACTGCGTCTGATCTGGGGAAAGCTTCTCGAATACAGCCCATCGGTATCATAGGACTCGAGGTGTGTGTCTGACCTCCTTTTAAAAGTATCAGGGGATGGGGCTGTAACAACTGCTTAGGGGAGGGAATTCCACAGTTTACAGACTCTAACTGCAAATGAGTTAGCATGGATCTTTGTACTTGCTCTCTCGTGCTCTATTCTTAACAGGTGACCCCTCAGGTAGCGTTTCAGAGTAAAGCTTAGAAGGGATCTGTTAGGATGGAGAGGATTATGGACAACGTGGTACATCATGATCATATCCCCTCTGATCCTTCGGTATTGTACTGGGTGCAGCTGAAGAGCAACCAAGCTGTCTGGGTACGGCTTGTGCCGTAACTCAATCACTTTCTTTGTAGCTCTTCTCTGTACGCGTTCTAGGATGGGACGAATTCCAATATCCAATCCAATATTGATAACGCTAGCGTAGAAAGCTGATTTTTGATCTCCTGTGTTTGGTACTTGGGTATCATCCGAAAGGTAAAAGTCGATGATAACATAGGTCTAGTTTCTAGGGGAGAGTTGGTAGATAATGTATCCAGTCGGAGGCATGTTGCAGACTGCAATGAAAACACGCGACAAAACTCGGGGAAAAACGCAGGATTGCACCTTTTTTCCTTGGTTTTTAACCCCCGTGTTCTGCCGCGCGCTTCCCCTCGATTTGTCCCGTGTTTAGATGGCCCTGCGTTTTGCCCCGAGTTTCCCCGTGAAAATGTTGACTGGGTTTTATCCCATTTAGCCTGGTGAGTCTGCACCTTTCACGTCCCTTTGGCTAATGTTGGCCCTCCAATTCATTACTTTCGAAGCGTCACTTGATTACATCAATTAATGTATTCATTCTCTTGAACGTGGGAAAAATTATCATTGGGCAGTTGCATGCCCGTCAATAAGCCATACCCTACATGAATACATAGGTACTACTGTTACCGGAAAGTGAAGTTTCAGAGTAATTAAATATTTATTACAGAAATTTAAATATATACAACAGTTTTTTTACAACAAGAGTTGCGTCATTTCTTCAGAACTGCTTCCTTCAGCGACGGGCATCTGAATGTGATGAGAATTACACTCTTCGTTTTCCCCGCCCTAAAAGTGAATGCAACTGTGATAATAAGTTGAGCGTACCCTGATCGACAGTCGTCTGCTTATCCTTCCACCCTCCTGGTCTCTTAGGTTGTGGAACCAATCTTTCATATATTTCCTGTAATTAATATTGAAATTGCTGACATCTTCGGGTTGCGTCACTTGGAAATTCTTTATAGCTCTTGAGAAATAAAAAGAGTATCTGCCAATAACAACTTACTTCGAACGGTCACTTCGATACGTGTATGTTTTATGCCTTTCTTGAATTTCATACCAGTCCAAGATAGTCATTTCGTGAGTTCCGTTTAGAAGATATGACGCATCATTGCTGCGAGTGTTATCTTCATATTGCTCGAGTTCATGTTGTATAATTCAGCACACTACAAGGGTGGGCCTGTACATTATCTCAACTTACGAGGCCATTACGGAAATCTTCTCCCAACTTCGCTTCCATCCTTTTAAATTCGTCGACGGATGTTACTGATAGACCACTGTCAACGGTCATTTTACGAACCGATACAGATATCAAGGCCTGTTGGCGCCTTAGTAAGCTCATGATGACTTGTATTTACATCCGCATCTCCATCCTCTTCAGGTAGCCTGCGGCCTTCATGCAAAAAGGTGGTAAACTTACTCATCATAGCTTCGCTTTCAGCCGTAGTGAAGAAAGTTTCTTCCCAAGGGTTGCTTTAAGGTCTGCAAGAGAAAGCATGTTTATTACGAACTCATGATTCACGAATTAGATTTCCAGGCTGAATTCGACTTCACTGGGAACATGACAGGTGACCTAGAGTATAGCGTCAGTATTATGGTTCGGCAAACCTACGATATCCGTGTATTACTAACAGCTTCCCTTGTTCCCCTGCTAAAGTTTAAGGTGCATGATAATCTGATACTTACACGTCCAGTGTGTTCATCAACTTCGGGCGGTCAGCGTTACTGAATCTAAAGTTTGGTTTCTCTATGGTTGAGGAAGGGTACTCTTCAAACAAAGTTCTCGGGAGTTGCAGTTTATCTACGGAATCCACCCAAATCAACATAGGACCAGGCATTACTGCGTAACGGTCCGAGTTGCCACACCTCATATCACCACATCAAGTAAAAAGGTAGAGAAGTGGAAGATGAAGAAGGAAAGGAAACTCAGCCAAAAGAAATACAAAGAACTAAAAGAGAGAAAGGAAGAATGAGAAAGTGGTGAGATTCGGTAAAGCGTTAAGGTGAGGACAGTGTGTGTTTACAACTGCTCCACTGACATCGGTTCTCGGCCATATCACCTGGTCTCCGACCGCTGGTTCATCTTGTCCCGCCGACCCCAACCACCCAGTCTGCATCCCCCCACATGGCTGAGACCAACAGTCGGACACCTCATACATTCATGCCGTGTTTCAGTCTGCCCACGTGGACCTCTTCTTAGCCTGAACCTACTTCGGCCAACATTGTGCGACGAAGCAGTCAGCGATTAGGCATGCGCAACACATGTCCCAACCGTCCCAGTTGCTGAAGGTTCACAACCCCATCAAGTGATTTACCTCTTCTCCCCCGCTAAAACTCCACACCTGACTTCTATGTTACTCACATGGTGACACCAGGGAACACGGCCTATACTATGAAGGCAATGGTGGTCAAGCATTTGAAGCCTTCTTGTGTATTCCACCTTCAGCGGCCATGTTTCACAGCCATACAGTAGAACAGAACGGACCGCTGTGCAGGTGCAGTACACGCGACACTTAATAGACAACCGGATATCTCGGCGGTGCCACAGGTGGCGTGGGTTGGTGAGAGCCAGTCGAGTCTTTTGTATTTGTGCAGAGATTTCATCGGCCACTGGGCCACCTGGGGAGGGCTGATCCTACTTCCCAGGTAAGTGAAGTGGTCGACATACTCAACCACTACACTCTTTATTGTCAGCCATGGGACCGTTGAAGACCAATCCTGCAGCAAACATCTGCATTGGGGTGATGAGAACTGCATCCCGAACATCCTCAAATTGCAACTCAGTGTTCAGAAGACTCTGTGTCTTCACGTAACAGGACTATGTTATATGCATATACAAGTTCTAACGAAAATTCTCCTGAGATTAGGTCAACCTCTGTATAACCTGGTGTCGAAAGGGAGACCTCCATAGGAATATCTATGATGAAACTCAGTAAGAATGAAGGGAGCGGACACTCTTGACCGACACCACCCCATGAGCACAGCCCTCCGGACATCTCACCATAGGCTCTAACAAGCCCACAAGTGTTCGAGTAGAGAACCTTCAATAAGGTGATGTAATTACTCGGCACGCCTTTCACTGAGGGACATTTCCACAAGACTTGTCAACCAACGGAGTCGAATGCTGCCTTCAGATCGAGAGATACAGGTAGTGTCAGGTGTGGGTAAGCGTGCCTATGTTCCAGAGCCTGGTGCAGTGTGAACATTTGGTTGATACACTCCTGGTGGGTCTAAAGCCTGCTTGCCTGGTTTCCTCGGGCTTCCTGTTCCCAAGCTCCAATCAGGCGTCGAAGTATCATAGAACCTAGGATCTTGGACACTTTTTTCATCAGGTTGATTCCTGTGGTCATCACAAGAGGACGTCTCGCCTTTCTTGAAGACTGGAATAATCAGTGATTTAGACCAGCCAGAGGGGATCGTATCTGACCCTCATATACTAGTTAACATTTCCGTTAACCTGACTAACAGCACCTTACCACCGTCCTTGTATACCTCTAGAGTTATTCCGTCTGATCCTGCCGACCTTCCTCGTTTCAGGTTACCTACAGCTTTCTCGACTTCTGATAGTGTTGGGAGGCCTATCTCAATGTTCCATTCAGGATCTGACTGGAGAGCGGGCAACGTGATGGTGGCTGGGGGCCAGTCAAGCTGCTCCTTGAAGTATTCTGCCCATCGTTCCAGTCGTCTCCCCTGTGAGTGAATCGCAGATCCGTCCTTCTCCGCTACAGCCCCACTAAACACAGTTAACCTTCTCCCCTCGGTTTCCTTATTGAGTCTAAATAACTGTCTACTGTTACAAATCGCCACCGCCTTTTTTCATGTCTTTAGTCTTCGCTACCCACCACTGTTCACGGTCGCTGCGTAGACTTTTTCTCAATCTGCTTTTAAGTTGTGCTCGCTCTTCATTGTACTCAGGGCCTGCAGAGATGCGTCCACATGCATCCACTAGTTTGGATGAAGCCACTGATGTCCAGTGGCTCTTTCGAAGTGCGTTACGGTCTTCAACGCTGCTTTTACAGCATCAAACTTCTTCTGGATCAGTGACAGTCTTCTGTCCCGACAACTCCCTAGCTAACTTCTCACTTAACACGGCTTTGGTGTTTTCGTTGACCAGCAGCGCTCGTAGTGGTTTCGTTGCCAGATGTTTCTTACGTCCAGTGAGACGCAGGCATAAACGTGCTCGGACCAACGCGTGGTCGCTATCCAAACACGTACTCCAGAGGGATCGACAGTTTTCCACCTATCCGCTTCATCGATGATTACTGCTAGCGTGGTCAATCTGTGTCCATTACTATGTTGAGCTCGGCAGAAGCCATGTCAGACAGTGTCTTTCTTCATGTTTGAAATTTGTGCTAGCTGAAAATAGGCGGTTATCCGAGCATAGCTATAGTAAGCGATCACGTTATCTTTTCGTTCAGCCGGCACTCC